CAACCCCACTGCGAGGGTAGGGAATAAAACCTTTTGGTATCTCCGTTCTAGAGGTGGATTTCAGGATCCTCTTCTTTGAGGCGAGCTGGGCAACCCTGGCCTGCTTTCCATTACTTATCGTAACCCCTGATGAATAATAGAAAAAACACTCCTCCACCCACAGGTTAGGAGGACCCCCCACCCTGTAATAGTGGTATAATAAGACTATAAGAGGACCCTAATATAATCCCTATTATCCCTTATAGTCACTGTTACTGGGTGGGGGGTCCACCTAACCCATAGGGATCACAGAACAGAGGTTCATGAGTCAAAACTTAGCCTAAGCCCAAATCAGCTTCAGCCCGAGGAGCCAAACCACGGAGGTTCCTTGCTTCCTTGGGACCAAAGGGCTCCAAATTCGGATTCGGGGTTCAGTGTGCAGGGCTTACCGCAAGAAAGCCTGAACGCAGGAGTTAAAGTAGGAATAAAGCTTGCGAGTTTGGCAAGACTTCAACTACAACAACGATCTATAGGATATGCTGCCAGCAAAACTGCGCAGAAATATTTCCTTTAGAAGAAGGTGAGCTTTCCAGATTTTGACTGCTAAAGCCAGTGCTACCTCTGGACATCAATGACGAGTCGACCCCTTCTTGGTGCTGGGTTGGGATAGGGGTGTTGTCTGTGGGTCTTAGTGCGGTCATGATTCCTGCTGCGGTTCTTGGCAAGAAGTGCCCTTGAGACCGGAAGCTCAAAAACTTCTAGCTCCAAAGCCTGAAGTACGATCCTGAAAAATCGTAAACCTCCCAGAACAAAAACCTGCGGCCTGTTGGACCTTCTGGGCAGCCGCAAAGAGCATGCTCTCTTCGAAGCAGAGCGAGGAAAGGTAGATGTGGGTGACCTCCGAAATGTCCGCCTCTAGCCTTGGCAGACTACAACTATACAATATTGGGGTCCTAATGGGATAACGGAAAAGAAAATGGAAAATACTATAATGGGTTATATACGGTTTACGGTTTAGGCTTCAGGGTTTAGGCTTCAGGGCTTCGAGCTTCATGTAGGACATTTCCAAAAAGCTAGACCCACTTTGGAAACTGGGATTATATAGGGGACCATAGGGGTTATAGTGTTTTTTAGTAATGGGTTAATATAGGGATAATGGAAAAGAAAATGGAAACTACTACAATGGGCTATTTCGGGATTATAGGGTATATATTTTGGGGCTATATAGGGGTCATAATGGGATAATGGAAAAAAACTGGAAACTACTATACTATGTAGGGTTATTTCAGGGTTATATTGGGAGAACGGAAAATGAAATGGAAACTACTATAGGGAATATTTTATATATTATACAGGGGTTATATTGGGATAGTGGAAAAGAAAATGGAAACTACTATTTAGGGTTCAGGGTGTAGGGTCATTGGGATATTTTGAAAATACAACTGTGACTCCTCTTAATGGGTTGTATTGGCTTGTAGTATCTTAGATTAGCAACCATATTCAACATGTTGTTCAATGAGCCAGAAAGCTTGGATTTACGGTTTGGAGCCGAAAGATTGGGCTGCAAAGTTTGGATTTGGGCGGCTAGGAGCGAGGTTTTGAGTTTCGGGCTTGTGGGTGTTTCTGCGGTTTAGGGTTTGGGAACTTGGCAACATTGCTTGACCTTCAACTCCAACCTGCACTGTCAACCCCCTGCCAATGGTAATGGAATTGTGGGCTCGCAACATTCAGCCAGGGTGCAAGTCGCCTTGGACGAACTCCACCTTCATGGGATAAGTCCACAGACCCATACACGCAATGGCGACGAAAAGTCGTTGAACAAAGAACTTAATCTGAATGGCCATAGAACTAATACATGAGTAAGACCCACGACAGGACGGAAACAACATGATGCGCGCGAGTGAATTCTGAATGCCACGAGTGTTTGTTGAGGTCCTCTGGCTCTGGTGCTATCATTCAAGTCACTAGGTCACTAGGTGGAGAGGCAAAGAGGAGGACGTAGCAGCGGCAGCAGCAGGAACACCAAGAGGTAGCGGTGGCAGTGCTCATAGCATTACCTGTAGCAGCAGCAGGAAGCTGAGGAGGAGGAGTTGTAGAGGAACGAAAGGAAAGGCAACAAGAAATTGTAGTTTGCCAAAATAGGGGGACCCCATTCTAGACCCCAGAATACTAGAATCCTCATTATATGGACCTTTAAAAAAGTACCCCTAACTTTGGAAAATCCACAAATGCAAGTAGCCGAGGCTTTGCAGGTAGACCCCTGCCTCATCTTCAGGGCTCGCTTCGTCCTGCCAGGGAAAAATGCACTTTGGATCTGGGTAGTTCCCAAATTAAGGTCCCATTTTGGTACCCCTAAATATGAGGTGCCGCAATATAGTCCATAATCCCAAAAAACGTCCATAATTTTGAAAACAGCCAAGCGACTGCCCCTTTTCAAAGGTGCTTGCAACAGCGACTTTGCAACTTTGTGATAGCTTGGCAGGAAGAATTCATTCGTCTACTTCTGAGACGTGCCCATCTTGGCTTGGACTTGCGGACTCTACAGGTGATTCCAGGTCAGGCAGTCAAACTGCATCTGAGGGTTTAGGGTTTAGGGTTTAGCCCTCGACCAAGCGTCTCGCCGCACAAGCACACATTCATTTGACGTGGCCTGCGCAGCACTTTGTCAGGTTGACGCACAAAAGTCATGGTGCACACAGCATTTCCTGCAACCAGTTTCAGGGCTCAGATCCGCTCAATGTAGTTTCGGAGCCGTGCTGATGCCTCGCCTGCGATCGAAGCATTTTGTGCGTGCACGCACCGTGCTGCGTCGACCAACAGCTGCTCCCAGGGCGCTGCGTCGACCTGCTGCTTACACCAGCCGTGCTGCTTCCCGCGAGACCAACACGCAGCATGTCAAGAAGTCTTTGCCACTGTTGCTGCGTCCTACGAAAGCTGGGGTTCCTTTGAGACCTGAACGTAAAGAGGCTGCAGGACCCACACTGCCAGAAGTCTCATGTTGGAGCGAAGCACGCTGTCGCGTGTCCGTTCGTCTTACCAGCGAATACGGTT